AAGAAATCAACTCCGCCAGCATCTTTATGTCTAACCTCCAGAACTGTAAGAAAATAAAAATTATGTTATAAGTCATGTAATGTGTGATATATTGTTATGGTGACTCTAGAAACCAACACACAAAGATCTGAGTGCAAGCGATTTACTTTGAAGAAGAGTCCAGGAACTTCTGCTAGCAGGATGTAGAAGTGAGACTGGGAAGTGAAGTGATAGAGTAGGCTGTTGACTAGGTTACCTCTGCAGGTGGGGCTCCATCCTCTTGTGAATCTCCAGGAGACAATGTAGAAGGTACCGCAGAGTTGTGCTACCTCTGAGGAATGAGGACCCTGATATATTAATTAGCAAAAATATTGGTGTATTAGCTTTCTATGGCTGCTGTAACTAATTACCACAGATTTGTGGCTGAAGACAACAGATCTAGAGGGCAGAAATCCAAAATCATTATCATTAAAACCATGCTGTCAGCAGGGCCTGTAGAGGAGAATCTGTTCCTTGTCTCTTCCCCCTTCTGGTGGTTACGGGCATTTTTTGATTTCTGGCTACGTTATGAAAATCTCTGCTTCTGTGGTCACATTACCTCCTCCTCTTCTTCTGTCTGTGTGTAATCTCCCTCTCCCCAGCCCTTGTAAGGACACATGTGACTGCATTTAGGACCCACCTGATAATCCAGGATCATCTCCCCATCTCATGGTCCTTAATTACAACTTTGGTCATACAAGGTAATATTCACGGATTTCAGGTACTAGGACCTGATCCCTTTGGAGGACATTTTTCAGTCTACCATAATTGGTATATTTGCCCTTCTACTTACATTTGTCATTGGTTGAAGGTGAAAATTCCCTGGCACTATGCCCTGGCCTGCAGGGTTGAGAAAAAGAGAAAACGTTCTCAGGTTGAAAGTTGCAAGGAATTTTTAGGCATGTATGGAATGGAAAGTCCCTAAGGATGTCAATGGGACACCAATAACATGTGCTATATTACTATTATTTTTGTTATTAGTTTTTTTTTGTTAACAATATTAGTTTAGCCGAAACCGGTTTGGCTCAGTGGATAGAGCGTCGGCTTGCGGACTGAAAGGTCCCAGGTTCGATTCTGGTGAAGGGCATGTACCTTGGTTGCGGGCACATCCCCAGTAGGAGATGTGCAGGAGGCAGCTGATCGATGTTTCTCTCTCATCGATGTTTCTAACTCTCTATCTCTCTCCCTTCCTCTCTGTAAAAAATCAATAAAATATATTTAAAAAAAAACAATATTAGTTTAACAATTAATCATTAGTTACAATTGTTACTAGCTATTTTAATCTAACTTCCTGATGGACCACAATATAAATTATTTGTACTACCTGTGTGACCTTACTTGCAAATCCTATCCCAAATATTTGAACTTGATTCTTTCTTTTTTTTTTTTTTTTTAAATATTTTATTGATTTTTTACAGAGAGGAAGTGAGAGACATAGAAAGCCAGAAACATCGATGAGAGAGAAACATCGATCAGGTGCCCCCTGCACATCTCCTAGTGGGGATGTGCCCGCAACCCACGTACATGCCCTTGCCGGAATCGAACCTGGGACCTTTCAGTCCGCAAGCCGACGCTCTATCCACTGAGCCAAACCGGTTTCGGCGAACTTGATTCTTTCTATAAGGGTACACCTAAGCATACACTGCTCTGTTATTTCCTCCAAAACACCTTTTCTTTATCTTTTTGGCACCTAACCAATCTCTTTTAATTAATCTCTATTTGGACATGCATAATTATCTTTCTCAACTGTCCATTTTTCTTAAGTATATTTTAATAATGTCAATGGTGAGACCATGACATATATACTTTGAAATTCTTAATGTTGTGATTTTGGATATCTACATTTATAATCTGGCACCATTTGGTAATTTTTCACCAAGAAATACAAAACATCTAGTTCACGCCTATTATGCATTTTTAGTTTCCTCAAAGTCCCTTGTTATAACATAGAAATTGTCTTATGGGACTGGAACATTAGCAACCTTAATGTACCATTCCACTTAGTGACAGTTTGAATCCAGTTTGTTTACAGAAAATGAAAGAATTGTTATATGTGAGTGGCCAAGAAATCCCTAGCTTGTTTCCAAAGATCTCTGGAATATTGGGATTTTAGGTGTGGGTAAATGAATGAATGTTGGAAGAGGGACAAGTGAAAAAAAGTAGTTTGGAGTTTGGTTTTAAACATGATAAATTGAAGTTCTGTGGTTATCTCGTGGAGATGTCCAGGAAGCAGGTGGCTATAGGACTGAACTTTGAAGACTGAAGCTTGAGAAAGAGATACGAATTGGACAAAAGATTTGAGAATCTCTGCAACAGGGATCAGTGGTTCTCAACCTGTGGGTCGAGACCCCTTTGGCGGTTGAACAACCCTTTCACAGGGGTCGCCTAAGACCATCCTGCATATCAGATATTTACATTACGATTCATAATAGTAGCAAAATTACAGTTATGAAGTAGCAATGAAAATAATTTTATGGTTGGGGGTCACAACATGAGGAACTGTTTTAAAGGGCCAGAAGGTTGAGAACCACTGAGGTAGATGGATGAGATCATGCCGGGAAAGCAAGCACGACAGAAGTAGCCAAGTGTGCCAAGAGTAGAACCGTGAGAGTCAACATTGAAGAGGCCAGAGAAGGAAGGAATGGAGGTAAGAGAACCTGGAGTAGGGGCTGTGAGGGGAGTGAAGGGAGTCAAAATTCCATTGTGAGAAAGAAGAAATGGCATGGAGAGATCTGAGAGATGAAGGAAGGAACAAAGGAAGGAAGGAAGGAAGGAAGGAAGGAAGGAAGGAAGGAAGAAAGGAAGACAAATGATGTGATTCCATGCACACGTAAAAAAGAAAAAATTCACAACGTAGAGGCTCTTGGTGACCTACGTTGAGAACAGTTTCAGTGGGATGTTATCAGTAGAGCCAGATGGGTTAACAGACCTCTGAAAGAAAAGGCCTCTCTGGAACCTCTGGGTATAATCCCTGTGAAGTTAATTTGGGGTAACCCAGTGATCCCTCTCAGCCCAAGTGTCCAGGAAAGCTCTGGAGGAACCAAGAGGATCTACAGCCCAAACTTAACTTAGCAATGGGTTGAGTAAATGGGAAATTAGACAAAGCTGAAAAAACAGTAAGATTAAGTTAATAAACTTCCGTTTTTAAGTTTGTGTTCAAATAATAGATTGCTCAAATTCAAGATGGGAGAGATTTAGCTTGGCAACAATTGCTTTAAAATGATCCAAAGATTTTAGCTGATTATATAAACTTAAAATGGGCCAAAAGTATGACTTAATTTCCCAAAAAGCTAGGACAGGCTTGGACTGTGATAATAGGAAAGAGGAAGTGGAGATACGAAGAGAATATTAATTTTTTGGAAGTAAGGACAAGCTGAGAAGGAGGAAAATAAAACAACAATTTAAAGGAGATACAGTTGCCAGGCAGTGTGGCTCAGTGGTTGAGCATCAACCTATGAACCAGGAGGTCGCAGTTGGATTCCCAGTCAGAGCATAGCACACGGTTGCTGCTCGATCCCCAGTAATGGGTGTGCAGGAGGCAGCCAATCAGTGATTCTCTCATCATTGATGTTTTTATCTCCTTCTTCCTTCCTCTCTGAAATATATCTATCTATCTATCATCTATCTATCTATCTATCTATCTAACTAACTAACTATGGAGATAGGGTCCTTAAATAAAAATAATTGAGGATGGGAGAGATTTGAATATGTTTATAGGCCAAGGGGAAGGGCCCATCAGGGAGGGAAAGAATATAGGAAAGAAGGGATAATTAGTGATAAAGAGGTCTGATAAAGCTGGTACTTGGTTTTGAATTGAAATGCCGGTGCCTCTCCGTGGGTGAGACTGCAGAGAAGGCCAAAAATGATGGGAGTAACCATGGCTAAGTTGTGGTTTGGGAAGGAATTCAGACACTTGGGAAGACCGCAGGCGAACGCTTTCGATTTGCTTGATGAAGTAATGCTCCATTGGGACAGGCTCTGCAGAGAGGCATGGGGAAACTGGGGAGGCCAGAAGACATGGAGAGAATTCCGGAGAGAATGGGATTCTTGCTTTTTGGGGTGGGATACAGTAATTGGGAGGTTTCTTCTCAGTCTCTCTAAGACCCACCCCCACAGGAAGCTTAGCATCCTTTTGAGCCTCTGCTTGCTTTTCCCACTTGGCTCAGGACGGTCAGGCCAGACGCAGTGTCCACAACATGCTCAAGAACCATAGACTCTTTTTGGTCTTTTTTTTTTTTTTTATAATAATCCGAAGTGGAATTCTTAAACTTATGCATGAAGAAAGATCTCTTAGAGTCAGTCATTTTGAAAAACACGTTCTTCTTGCAGTGCATAAATCTACCTGTTAAAATGTTGGCGGAATTGCTAAGCAGGCAATACCATTTACACAAAGGTAATAATGCAGTTGCAAAATACTGAAATGCACATGAATCTCACTGAGGTAACCTGTCAGGCAATAGTTATGAAGGCAAAAGTGTTTAAAAAAAAATTCAAGAATCACCAACTTGTGAGCGCCGGAAGGTCCTGGGAAATTCGGCATTGCACAAACACGCCCGGAGAGCTGGTCGAGGGTCAGGAAAGCGCCGGCATTACACAGAAAGAATAAGTTTTTCTCGGCCCTCAAGACTTACGGGATAAAACTACCGAAAAAAAAAACAAACCCCACAAAAAACCAGTCTAACACAACAATGAGGTACCTACGTGAGGAGAGGCACAAAATGCAGAGAGGTGATTGACACATCGAGTCCTTTCGTTCTCAGATGAGGAGCCCAACTTCCCACTTTTAAGGAAATCCGGAAAGAGTCCAGATGGCTATAGGACTCTCGATGGTGACCCCTTAGAGTCACAGAGCCAGTCATTTATCCGCCCCGGGACACTTCGGCGACGTCTGGCCCGGACCGTGAGACTGTCCCCGCGAGAGGGCGTCCTCCCAAGCCGGTCCACGGAAGTCCCGCCCCCCACTTCCGGCGGAGAAGGGGCGGGGCCAGCAGCAGCTTCCGTTCTGCAGTGTCGCGGCGGCGGCACGTGTGTCTCCCCATCAGGATTTCTGGATCATCCCTACCCGTGCAGAGTTTGTGGCGCCGGAACGCCTTTCAGCATTAAGGATGAAGGCGGTAAGGGTCCTCAGAAGCCCGGCCCCCGCGGTTTAGGGGTCCCTTTGGCTGAGAGTCGCTGCCTGGTGTAGCTTTCCTGGCGGTTTTCGCTCTTGTTTAGGGGGCGGTGGCCTAGATTCGGGGCTCCTTCTTGGCGCAGGGCGTCCTCCGCATCCCGGCCCTTACACCTATGTCTTCCTTCATTGCTCATTGTGATCACGCTCGGTTTCGGTGGCCACGATGAGACGAGCACCGAGTCTTGCATCCCTAGGATGTCAGACATTGAAGGGTTCCTTCAAGACTGTGTTTCGAACCCCGTATTTTACAGAGGAGAAGCAGGGTCCTGTTCTCAGTGGAGTTATAGTGTGAGTCATAGGATTCGAAACGAGTCCTTCCCCCCAAAAGGGTAAGAAGATAGGAAAGCAAGTGCTTTGCTCCGGTTCTTGCAGAAAATTAGCCCTAGGGTTTGGATTTCTGAATAAGGGGTCACCATCAAGAGAGTTGGAACCCAAAGACTGGAATTCAGTGTTGCCTTTCTTAGTTTAAGGGTCTTTGACACGTCGCATAATCCTTAAGCCATAACTTCGGCAGTAATGTCAGGATAATGGCAATCATTGCTTAACTAGGCTGTTGGAGGTAGAATGTTGGAGAACAGTGTAAACAGTAAAGTAATATGTAAATGTCAGTTATTGTTAAAGACAGCATTTTGCTCTGAGTGTGCTAATGTAGTTAAGATAGCCTTGAATAACCATTTGCAATTACATCATGGTTCTTAACCTTTTTGGGGGGTCTTAGACCCTTTTGAGCAGCTGTGGATTCTGGTCACAATAAGACCCATGGTTGAATAACTGAGCCTCAAGTGCCATTCTATCGGATAAATGCTTTAGTTTGGTTTTAGCTCTTATATGCAAGATCTTGGCTGTGAGACATTAGAATTGTGGAATTGGTCTAATGAAATTTATAATCAAGTCTCTTTAATCTGGTTTTTAAAATAATAATAAATTATTGGTTATGCAGCAGTCCTCCTGTTGTTGTTTTCCAGAGAAGAAATAAAAAACAGGTCCCAAGCTTTAGGAAGTTGCTAAAAACTAGTAAAGTCAAACTTGAAAACAAGCTAAAAAATAAGCAATTTAAACAACAAAGCAATCTCAAGAAGTACCGAAAAGAACAGAGGAAACTAAGGCAAGCTGTAAAAGATGCTGTGTCTAAGAAACCCATTCCACTGGAGGACCCGAAGAAAAAACGACCAGGTAATTGTGAAAGCATACATGTGCTCTAATTTCCATTGATTTGTTCTAAAGTGCTTTTCTAAACTGTTCCAATAATTGCATTCTATTAATCACTCTTGGTCACACATCCTTCTTAAGAGTAGGTAAGGATAGTAGTCCTATATGCTTTCTAATTTTATAGTCAGTAGAGGAAAACATTTCAATATAGTACTCTTTGTGAGAAAGGGTGAGACTAGCCTCTGCTTGTGGTATGTCTAGAAAGCAGATCTGAGGATACAATGCCTGGGATCACAAACTCAGAAGGGCCCTGTTAATAAATACTAGTGAGTGCCAGGCAGCATGCCCTGACACTTTCCCATCCACTGGCAGTTAGCTAAGGTAAGAACACTGCTTTTCTCCGGTGTGTTTTTCAGTGTTGCCGAAATTCATTTTGTATTCTGAACGCCTGGCTTTCTTTTCATTCGGAAACTTGGAGTGACATTGCGCTGTAAATGTCAGGGTTATTTTTGTAAAACTGTCCAAGAACTCCAAGTACTCAAAACAGGTAGGGAATATGACCATTTTGAGTCAGACCAGTTCTACAATGTTACTGATACTTTCAGAGTAGTTATATTTGACTACAACGGAATATTCAGTTTTCCCATGTGCTTCTCATTCTCTGAATCCTGACCTATTGAGTTTGATCTTTTTTTTTGTTTGTTTGTTTGTTTTTTTAAATATATTTTATTGATTTTTTACAGAGAGGAAGGGAGAGAGATAGAGAGTTAGAAACATCGATGGGAGAGAAACATCGATCAGCTGCCTCCTGCACATCTCCTACTGGGGATGTGCCCACAACCCAGGTACATGCCCTTGACTGGAATCGAACCCGGAACCTTTCAGTCCGCAGGCCGACGCTCTATCCACTGAGCCAAACCGGTTTCGGCAGAGTTTGATCTTTTGGCAACATATTATTATGATATGTAAAAGGTCATGGGCATGGAAGCCAGGAAACTCGGGCTTTTTCTCTTGATTTTGTTACTTAATAGCAATGTGACCCTAAATTAGCCTGGTATTTTATCTCCAGGTATTTAATCTGTAAAAACATGGGATGGCTGAGTTAGATACTTTTAAAGATCTCTTCCATCTACATTTCTGTAGAATTTAAAAAGCATGATGTGGGCCCAGCCGGCATGGCTCAGTGGTTGAGCGTTGACCTATGAACTAGGTCAGTGATGGCAAACCTATGACAA